TTTAAAAACTTGATCCAGCAGGTTTATCTCACTGTGTCTTCAAATGTAAATGCAGTCTTCAGAGAGACCTGTAGACAGTATATTAATAGCAATATTAATGGTTCTCAAACTTCTCATTATTCAGAGTGCATATTCTGTGGTGATGCTATTGGTCAGTATAAAAATGTGTTTATTTCCTTCAGGCTGGAAGTTACATATTGCTCCTTCCCTCCTTTTCTCTAAAAGGTTATAAGTTTTAATTTTTTTTTTTATTCTTAAATTTGATTTTGAGAGGCTAATATAAAAGTACTTAATATCATAAGTATATTTGTTTTAGGTGTTTTTAATTTTGTACTGATAAGAACCAACCTTTAAAAAATTTTGACAAAACCCCTTTGCACTATTTCTGTGATACAGATAATCAAAAAATAAATGATGTGTCAAAGATGAATTCAAGTAGTGCATTGCAGCAAGCAGTAGAACCTGCTGGATGTAAAACAAAGGACCAAGCCACACAGGTTACTTGTGAAATTCCCAGACCTTCTAAACCAAGCAGAGATTCAGCTGACTTCCTTAAAAATGAGGTATTTAGAATTGATTTTTACTTCCTCCTGCCCCCTCAAAATTATGTTACAATCCTTAATCATCATAATTGTTAGGTTATCTGAGGGTGGGATATACTTCTGTTTAGAAATCTATTTGAGATGGAAAATATCGATCATGGATATTATAGTATGGCTCAGCAATTTAATACTGCTTTCTAAATAGGGTAGTAATACACTGCACATTGATTCTTTTCCTTTACATCAGAGGGAGTTTTATAAGGGAGTTTTCTTCTCCCCATCTCCCTCGTCTTTGTACAACACATCACATCCCTGTACAAACAAGAGGGACTAGGCTGTTTAGTCAGACCCTTACTAATCTATCAATCATACCTGGGGTTTGAATCAATGAGGACAGAACACATCCTCACATCAATTTGGTTGTTTTTTCTACTGCGTAAGAATCTGTTCCTGGAGCTCAGAACCTGAGGTCATTTCCACTCCACTCCAGAATGGAAATGGTATAGCTAAAACACTGGCTATCCTGCCTTTTGAGCTAATTGCATCAGCTCTCTCTGTGTTCCACGCTCATTAACTGGGAATCAGTTGCAATTGACTCAGTCCCAGCAAGCCTCTGCCCAGGAATGAATGTGAGCATATAGTATTTTAAAGTTACTGTAATGGAAAAAGTTGTCAGCATGCAGGAATACTAATTAATAGCTTTGTTTTTTCAACTGATCATTTTAGCTTATTGAAGAAAATGAATGTCTCAAACGGGAACTAGCCAAAGCCAAACTGGCTCTTGCTGAGGTCCAAATGGAAAAAGATGCCCTGCTTCATCACATGAAGAAGATGAATGTTGATCATCAGTAGGACAGTGTTCTGGCAGTGCAAGAACATGAGAACTTCAGGTGGTGGTGGCATCTAAAATACTGTCTGTAAATCACTTGAAGATGTGGTTATTTTTTTGATCACAGACAAAGTTTTCTCATTACAAAAAAAATGTTTGTGAACTAGGTACTATTCTGAATTTTTCATTAAACATTGTAACTTTTTTCAGCTCATTTTAAACTGAATTGACTTGGGAAAAATCAGTTTGTACTGTACTTTATTAATTTAGAGATGAAAAAATCATATCATCTACTTTTAATATTATCAAAGGAAATGTTATTTTTAAAATGTTTTCTGAGAAGTGGATGGCTCAGCTGTGAAAAAGGTGTACCACATGTACCACACCTCACTAACAAACTGTACCTCTGTTTGTTAAAGGTATGTTGTTTGATTGTTACCAGAAGGTATCCATACAAGATGTTACATTTGCACTATGATGATATGGGCTAGATCCTCTAGAATAGTATAGCTACTGAAAATTAAAATACCAGCCCTAAACTGGCCCTGAATTCAGTGTAATTTGCCCAGAGAGGATTTTAAGAATAATCCTCTGGTGCTATAGACTTCCCTATACCGTTTCCATATGTGCTCCTAAAATATACCACAGTAAATGCTGGAGAATTTAAGTCAGAGGGCATACTACTGGGCTTTCCTTCTGCATGAAGGTCCACTGTATCTGTACAGCTGATGTAACTTAGACATTCACACTTTATTTTTCCTCTCTCTGTGATGAGGATATAGCCCTGCACTAGGATCCAGCCCTTTGTGACAGGTGAGCTTGGAGCCATTTTGCATGCATGTCTGATTTCTGCACAACTCATCAGACATGCCCAAGGATTTGGTTCAATGTATTTAAATATGTAATGTCAGTGCTTGTGAGGGGGGAAAATCCTACAGGGATTTATTAATTGTATATTGCTTTTTTTTGATAAAAAAGTTGTAGAGAATCACTTAATTACCCAATGAAATTGTGAGATTACATGAAATGTAATTATACAGTTTAAATTATGGGTGATTTGTACAAATTGAACAATAACTTTCAGCTAAAAACTGGTACAGATGGATAAGTAAAAAAGCACAACACTGTAAAATAGAGAATATAAGAGTGTGCTTTTAAACAATTTAGGAAACAACATATAAAACTATAGATGCCTGTAAGAGATTGTCTTTGCTAGAAGTAAAAATGACTGAATAATTTAACTAGTGACCTTGAATCTGACAACTGAAAATCTTTTAATTGCTACCACAATTGTTTCTGCTCCATTGGATGTTGGAGGGAAGTTTTATTTGTAGATATGCAGGCAAATTTCCTAAAGTATTTAGTATCCTGTGGTTTGACTTTGCATATGCAGACTGTCAAACTAGTTTTAATTAAAATGGTTTTCATTAAAACTTTTTGGAGGACACATAATTTGCACTGCCGAAAATAGTTATTGAAACTGTGTAGATTTTAATGAAGAACTCTGTGGAAGAACTGGTTCAGGCACTATTTTAAAGCCTGCCTTATGAACCCTCATTGAAACTCCCCTTAATGCCCATGGAAATTTTTATTTTACTATTCTGAATAAGATGAAAAAATATACATACAATGTTTCTAATAGAGAAATTAAATATTTGTATTTCAACAGTTATTTAAGACAATACAGCAATTTCACATAAATGCAATGTCAGATTCAGGGAGTATTTCTCCACTGGTTTAATTCTGGTTGGTACTATTAAAGTAATTCTTACTTGGTTTATCCTTGCCAAGATCTAGTTAGAACTATTCTGAAGAAAGGAATGTACAGAGCGCTTAGTAGCATGTTGCTAGAATATTACACTGAGAATTGTCTAATTTTTAAAAAGAAATAAATAGCAATATCAAATGCCTGTCTTTATTACTGCATAAGCTAGTACCTGCTTCTTTTGAGAAAAGCCAAACACAAATCAAACTCGAAACAATAGCCCAAACCAGCCCTTCTCAGATGTTGGAATTCATGGTATCACTTCCTAGCATTTTGTTATAACTGAATACATTTCTACTTCATGGCAGTTTTGCAGTAATGAGCGTCATATGTGCACAGTTCAGAAGAGACAGGTGTGTTTGGTTGTGAGTTTGACAACACTGAGAGTGATAGTACTGTGTCACTCTGAAATGAGTTTTGCTATTGAAAAAAATGCAGAGGGAAAGTTAATTTATTAACTTTTGAAAGTGCATTTAGGTTATACTAAACATAGCTATGAAAAGACTCAGACTAAAAACAAAAAAAAGGCTTAATTCATCCTCAGGCTCTGCCAGTGTACACAACCTTCTTAAATCCTAGATAGGAAATGTGCAATCAGTAGAGCTTCTTGAATGAAGCACTGCTTTTATTCTGCAAAGAACTTGGAGAACCTCAATGTATACTGAAAATTGACTCCAGAAGTCCTGCAGGCAAACTGTTAGCAAGTTTTATTTTTATTTTCTATGGAAATTTTAACTGGTCTACAGTTTAACACTCGTTGGCTTGTTTAGAAATCCTGTTTTAATGCCTAACGAAGCTTTCATGTTAGCTCACCCTGAAGAGGCTGTGCCCTTTCCCAGGCTCGGTTATTGAATCATTCTGGCACACACTGTTCCAGTTCTCACTAACTCTTACCATTGTTGGTAAGCACCAGTTTTAAATCAAAATTATGTGGCCTTACAGTATTACTTATAAAAGGCCTGTTGGAGAGGCAGCTTTGTGGAGATCATGCCTGTTCTCTGATGTCCCTGCTCCCTGGATTAAGCCCACCATGACTGTTGGTGCAAGGGACCATGGCACTGGCTGGGAGGGAACTGCCTTTTTTTCCCCCTCCTGCCTAAGTCCTTTATTTCCCAGTCCCATTAGCAATGTCTGTTTGGACACTGTCTTGATTAGGAATTTACTTGGGAGTCTTAAAGTGAGATCACAATTGATCTCTAAAGGATAACTGGTAGCTATAGAACGCTTCCTACAATCTGACATGTTAATGGTTACCTTTATTCAAAATAATTTTACAATAAATGTAAGGGGAATGTGATAATAAAGGTAAAGACTTTATCAAGCATCTACAATTTCAAGAGTACAAAATGTATGTAAGGTATTGCAGAAGCAAACTCTCCACAGTGACCAGATTTCACGTAAGTAATGATGAGGAAAATGGTTTCTGTATGAAAAAAAAAGTGCTTGTGTAGTTCTTAAAACATTCATCACAAAATGCTTGAAGTAGATTTTCAGCTCACTGTTGCCATCTGCAAATTTTAAAGAGTACTTCAGATTCCAATTCAGCTGTTGATACAATTCAATGTCTTTTTATCTATTGTAGGGACAGAACATGACTTTGCTAATATGTTAAGTAGCAATGAAATTGTGGGCACTTGCTGTGAAATCCACTAATTCATCCCTCCCAGTAGGGAAATAAGTTTTTGACAGCCCTGCAATACAACTTTATCTTTTTTTAATTCCAACCCATGCCACTTCACTTTTGCTGACTAGCTTTTGAATGGCAACCCCATTTCCTCTGCCTCAGTGAAGATACCTGTCAGTGAGAACCTAGTGGCAGGCTTTGTAGTGCTGAAGCACATCTCTCATGTCCAGAGGCTAACACGTGGTTTCCACTGGTGCAGGCACTAAGCTGTGTTCAGCTGTACTCTGTTTAGTTCTGTGGCAGTGCCTCTCCTCATCTTGTACTGCTTAGTATGGAACCTGAAAGCAAGAACAGCACAAAGATCACGCTAATCAGTATTAAAGGATGCAAAACTTGTATAGGAATAGCGGTCTTTGCTGAAGGAACAAAGCTCTATTTCTCAATAAAATTAAGAAAAAGTAGTAAATAGAAGTAATAGTAAATAGAAGTGATAGTAAATAGAAGCTGTGTAGTTACAGTTCTAGATATTTTTAGCATGCTTATATAAAAACTTAAAAATCTGGAACAATTTTAATTATGAAATATATTTTTTAACACTATAAAATTAATATTTAAAAAATACTTTTGCAACTTACAGCTTTTAAATATTATAGAATGTCTCGCAACTATGTGTCACACTACTTGCTAGCTGAAACAAGTTGCAGGAATTGAATTTTCAAAAATCAACCTAAACTCTTGATAGCCTATGTTCTCTCCCAAAATAAGGGGTAAATTTTGCATCCCAAAGAGATGAATCTTTCATATTGCCACTACTTAAATGGGTAAATATTAACTTTTTTAAAAGGTCATTTTGGTTTTGTCTACCACTGCCCAAGCCATCCCTAAACAGTTACGTTAAAGTATCTGTATTTTGTTATTTTTTCACTATCTCCTGCCTTCCCTTTAGTTGCCATCACCCATTTTCATATGAGTGGAAGTGGAATACATGTATTTCCTAAAGCTTTCAATCATGTAATGTCAGTATGAAATCTTGCATTGTCTAATTTCTGAGAGCATTTTTTTGGAAGTAAAAATAAGATGCACTTATGCCTTATCTTCTGTGAGAGTAAAGCTGGTAGTGAGTGTGTGGAGCATAATGCACAAACTGGTTAATGCAGTTCTCCTAGGACAGAGTATGTTCGAAACCACCATGATTTAATTTGAGTTAAGATAATTGGTAAGTAATTTAAACATTTGACAGAGACATGAACAAATGAGCACTTCAGAAGTGGTAGTCTGAGCCAGCAAGCACTGACTAAAGCAGCAGCCTCTAAGCAGCTTATCTGTGGAACAAATCCGGATATCTTCATATTGTCTGCAAACCTCAGTACACCATTACCACGGAAGGTGCAACTGTCATAAATACTTCTAGCAGTGTAATTATATTGTTCTAGTAACTTGAAGTTTTTCAGCACTGGAAAAATACTTTTGCAGTGAGAATTACCATACTGCAGTCTGTGATGGTTAATGTTTTACTAGTAAGACAAACCGTGCTTAACGAGTTCTCAGAATGCGAATTTTTTAGTAGTTTTTCGTTTAAACCCGCGACTGGTGCGGAACGCTCCTCCCGCCGCCGCCGCTTGGTGGCAGTGCGGGAGTCACTTGGCGGCCTCACGTCCCCGTGGGTACCAGCGCGCCTGGCGCCCTCACCCATCGACAGCCGCACCGAGCGAGAAAATGTCAGGGTAGAATCTCGAGCTCTTATAAATTTTTGATGCTTAATCTCATAACATGATTTTAAACCAGGCTTTTTTTTTTCCCCCCCACTTTTAATTTGGATGGCTTATCACTGTTTCTACTGCCTTCTTTATGGCACACTTCCTCTTTAAATAAATCACATGAACTGCCTGAACAGTGTTAGTGTTTCTTCCCCCCTTTAGCTTTAAATAAATTCTAAAAGCTTATTTTTGTACATATTGTCCCTTTTATGGTAAAATGTTTACCAGATTTGTTGTTCTTTGTCATTATCTGTTAAAAGTTTGGATTATTTTGTCTGGTTTTCCTGTCACTGTACAGATGAACAACTCCACCATGATATCAACAATTTATTTGTTCAATTTTCTTGCTAACTAGGAAAACCTCCCCATTTTTAATAAACTGAGCATATAGAGAGGTTTTCTGTATTTCTTTTGGAATAAACAAATGTAGTGCTTTACAAATGCTTACCTTTACCAGATGGTAATCTAACAAGATAGTTTATATTAACACTATAGTGTGTGGTAAGTGATCTGGAGTTACTTCTTTTTATATCCCGTTTGGTTATTCAAAAACTTACAGGCAGAATGACTAAGCAGAGAGAAAAGCATTCTATATAAAATTTACTGTAGGAATGGGGTCGCTTTATTTTTGTCAAATAGAGAAAATAGCATAGAAAGCAGCTGTCTCTTCATTCCTCTGGAATCTTGATGTGTGGTTTGTTCCTTCCACTTACTTTTTAATTATATTTCTAACAAGAGACTGCAACTCAGGATAGGTATGATGGAGAGTTTTTTAAGGTCTCATCTTGCAATGCCACATACCAAAATGTTGCAGAATATGACAATATACTGGACACCAACACAATCACAGCCACTTACCTGAACGGACTTTGATGTAGAAATGAGGCTTCTCTGCTCAAACTTAGCAGGAAGATAGCAAGAAGACTCCAGAAGAATCATTTCCCTCTAAAACATGAGATTTGATATTTCTGCAATATTCACACACAAAAAAAGAATCTATTCAGATTTTTGAGTATATACATACTTGAAAATATTTAAACAACAGCTCTTTAAAAAACTTATAAAACATACATCACTTCCAGCATTTCAGTTCCTATCCAGAAGTAATGTAAGAAATACGGTAAGTTGCAAACAGTCACTGAGAAATTCTTTAAAGCAGTATCAGAGCTATTTGCTTTAACTGGATCCTAAATCCTTTCAAATCACTGACACTTGGCAATGTAACTCATGGAAAACTACAAGTTAAATTTCCAACTCATACTCATCTGAAGATATATCTGGGAGTGGTCATGACCTGAACGCTGTTCTTAAACCTTCCTTTCCAATTATCAGAAGCATTTTCAGCTTATGCAACAGGAAAGTATTCCTTCAAAGTCACAACGTTAAGAAGATTTAAAAGACTCCTTGAAATGGGACTTGGCAAAATATTTCAGCAGGCAAAGGCAACCTAGAGTTAATCTCTTTTGCATTCTCATTATGCAAAACATGTCCCTTATTTAGCTACTGTAAGTCACCGCTGTCCAAAAGGAGGAAAAAAGGAAAGTATTTGAAATAAGCATAGGGAAAACGATACACTAGAACAAATTCTGGGCACCTTATTCATGAAAACGTGTTCCTGTGTGGCTGAATAGCTGTCATCCTTAATGTCATTGTGGCTGCCTTTAAATCTGCACCTGCTGGAGTCAAAAGCAATGGTTTTACCTAGCAGCAGTATAGGCAGTAACAGATTTATTTTTTTCTTCTCCATCTGGTGATAAAACTTGTATGTGGAGCAGTATCTTACTGTATGTAGTAGCTGGCTATTAACTGACAAACACCATCATAATCTCCACTTTGCTGATGTTCCTTCACTTTAAGGACACTTGGACACTTCTTATGCAAATCAAGAGAACCTAGATAAAGTGGGATTTATGAATAACAGGAGACATAGTTATATTAGTTACCATGAGATCTCACCCACTGTATCATATCATCCCTGATATCCACTGGAAATGGGCCTGCTAGAAGAGTCTGAGACTGAAGCACTGGAGGTGAACTTACTGTCAAAACTTAACTGAAGCTGCACATACTTAAAAAAGGATGAGGCAGAGCTCTAACACAAACATGTCTTTGGCATGATGTATGTTTTCATACAACCAGCCTAACAGGGTAATCTTCCCTGTGAGAAAGATGGTATTATACTGTAGAAGGAAGTAGAAAAGAGAGACTAAGAATTTCCATGAAAAGAAGTTTAAAAATTGTGGCAAGAGAGAAATGCGCAATAAACAAAGAGAAGCTGAATACTAACTAAATCAGGTGCTATGAATGTTTAGGTACATTACAAAATGTATCAAAACATTCAAAATAACTGTAAAATGTGATTTGATGTAAACACAATCCTACTTGAAACAAAAGAAATTGACTTGGTTTCTACAGCAAATCTGAATTTTTTCCTTGCTCAAATAGTGGTGGTGAGGAAATGCCTCTTCTCCCAAGAAACAAGTGATAGGAGAAGAGGAAACAGTCTCAAGTTGCACTAGGGGAGGTTTAGATTGTATATTAGGAAAAATATTTGCACCAAAAGGGTTGTCAAGCACTGGAACAGACTGCCCAGGAAAGTGGTGGAGTCACCATCCCTGAAGGTATTTAAAAGACGTGTAGATCTGACACAGTCCAGTGGTGGACTTGGCAGTGCTGGGCTAAAGGTTGGGCTTGATGATCTTAAAGGTCTTCTCCAACCTGAATGTTTCTGTGAAAAGGGATTAGGCTTATGCAGGGTAGTGTCTTCACTGGGATATTGCTCAGAGAAGCATTAGTTTGATAAAATGCTTACATCAAAATAAAACTGGGCAGTTCCGTATTTTGATTTTTCAATTTTAAAAATGTTATATGGTATCTTCAACATAAAAAGGAATATGTGATAAAACTGTAGTGTCACAGAAGCTCACTGATTTGCATCACAAAATCTATTTTGAAGAAACTGCAGCAGGTCCAGAGGTGTGAAAAGAGAAACAAATGGAAGAAAACAGCAGATATCAGATTTATGCAACTTCAGGATTTTCCTACTTGAATTATTCATCCTACCTTAGTTATTCAACCTTCTTTAATACACTCCCCTTATCCTGCACCTCTTTACTGGAGGTGGATCTTTTTAGCTCCAATTTGTGCTATACTTAATTATTTAATTAAAGATTACTTTACATTAATTATTGCATATTTTTCTAGGATGATGCCAGCCTATTTGCATATCCACAGCAGAGGGTGTCTCTGTACTCTGTTTTCTTAATACAATATGGAAACAGAACATCTATCATGAATAGCCATAGCTGTTTTCTTCCAATGTAAAAGAATCCAGATTAATGTCTAAATGTGTTTTGCTGAATCAGTTCCAGTTAGAAGAGTGTCACAGACAGGCTGCTCTTCCTGTAATCCTCTCTGCTACCTTTGCTACTGATGCTCTGGGGTAGGTCAATATGCTATTGTGTTCTTAAAACATAAATCTTACATGTAATATTTTTTGTGCATGGTTCTGCCTCTGAGATATTAGCTTTAACTTAGCTGCTGAATTAAAATTAGTAGGGCTTTTTGCCTGAGGTTGATAGTCACCTTCGGTTCAGATAAATAATAAGCGTAAGTTAAATGAATTGGCTGGTTTAGCCATAGACTTTACCAATTATTAGTTTGGACCAAAATCTATTGTATTGTTAGAAGGCTCAAAATGAGGGAGTTGCATATTAGGAAGCAAATTACTCATGCTAATATTTTCCTCTGTAATCCAGTTACACAAGAGGTAAATGAGATTTAGAATTTCACTGCATAACCACATCCTCATGCAAAAAAAAAAGCAATAACTTTCCTCCCTAGGCAGTGCAGGAGTAGCTTTCAAATTTTAATAAACACTCTAGAATGTTGTTTTGTGGGGCTTGAAGAAGTAATTAAGAATGAAGAACCTTTTTACTGTTGGGCTAACGGAATAAAATATCTAAGGACCCTAATCTTGTGCTAGGAGCAAAGTATCAGCTTCACAAAATCACCATCTCTGACAAATTTGATATTAATTGTTCCTTCTGGCAGATAGCAGCAGTCCTCTTAACATCAGAGTCACTGTGCGGTTGTATATGTACTGCACAAAACCACAGTAAACAATGTGCTGTGTATTTTAACTACACATGAAGACTACACTCTTATACAAGGCAGTAGCCTGAGATAAAACAGATTAGCAAGACTAAGCAAAGCTTACATACCTATTATTTGTGCTGTGTTGCTATCAGTGTGCACACATACGTAACAGTCTCTATGCTAAAATATCATTTATCAAAATAAGAGCACACGCTTCCAAGTGGAATACAAAGCAACCATAAGCCTATTCTAAATTAAAATATTTCAGTGAGAACAGTACATTAATGTGGTTTAAGTCTGTCTCCTCACCATTGTGATTTCTTAGTTCTCATTTAGGAAAAATAATGGATAATTGTTTTATATTTAACTTTTTCATATCACTTATTTTATATACTTCTATCTTCCTATGGTTATAATTTTTGTAAACCTGAAGTGGCGCAGTCTATTTGGGCTTTATGAAGGCTGTACATACTATACATCTGATTACACCTCTTCTCCTTTACTGTACCTTGCCTAGTACTGATGTAATGTTTTTGATACAGGACAAACTCAGTGGTTTTATACACACTCGTGTCCTTTCCTAGCAATTCCCAATAATTTTATTTGCCATTTTGATTACCATATAGCATTAAATGGACATCGTTATAGAACTGTCTCCAATAATTCAAGATGAGGGAGATGTAACAGCAGTTTTGGAATTGAAAAAGGGGAATCTAAAATCTCCCTCCACTAGAGAATTATTCCTATCTTTTGTCAGTATTGAATTCCACCTTCTGTTTTACTATCTACTATAACAATGTACTCTTCCATACTCAGTTTTAGTCCAAACTATTCTGAAACCTACTGTTTTGCCAGCAAATTGTTATTATGAGCCTGCTGGACAGTGCAGGTCCCAGGAGAGACCTCTACATGGCTGTCCTGACAACCTCTCACCACTGTGAAAATTGGCTATTCTTCCTTTTTACTTTCCCTCCTTTAACCAATTGTCCATTCACAAGAGAATTGTCCCTCTTAATAACAATTTGGGTTTTTTAAAAGTATTCTGTAAGGACCTTGTCAAAAGCTTTTTGGAAAGCTAAATACAATCTATTGATTGAATTGCAATTTTCCATATGCTCTTTGACTCCACGAAAGAACTCTAATAGAAACAAGAGACATGACTTGATTCTCCAAAAGCTGTACTGAATCTTCACTATTGTGAAGATGTCTACCAATTTGCCAGGCATGGAAATCAGACTCAGTAGTTTTCCAACTCCCCCTTCAAGCTCCTTAAGAGGCATTAGCATCACATTTGCTACCTTCCACTCATCTAGTGCCAAGGCAAATTGAAGCAATAGCTTGCACCTCACCATTTTAATTTCATAAGTATTAGATTTGAGGTTTTGCAGAGTATTTGGTGATCTGAATTTGGTCCAGGCAAGTTATTTTTCTTTAGTTAGTTGCTTCAACAAACCTTTTTCTTATAGGATGGTAACTTCAGTTAACACCTTGGACTTGGCCTGTAAAGAAAGGCTCTGGTAGTTGAAGTGTCCACCATAAATAGTTAGGTTGACTGAAAAAAACCTGGCCAGACCCAAGAATTCAGTGCAAAGTTAGCTGCCTGCATCATTTGTATTAAGAATAAGCATCAAAGCTAGAATTTGCAATGATTTGGTAAATTAAAGCTAGTAAGAGAATCAGTGGAAAACTGTTCTTCCTCATATATCTGACAATGCTATATCCACTGGATATTGACAAAAAAGAGTGCTGTGTCCATTTGGTTCTGTGTTAATTCCCACGGCGATATTAATCATAAATTCATCTGTCATATATTTCTTCTTTCAAACATCTTCCCATTCTTCCTAGTTGTACACCTCTTACTGCCCAGCTCTCAGTCTGACAGTTACATCTTTTAAGTATATATAGACAGTTATGAGCCTTCCCACATCATTACCTATATATACTCTATTTTTTTCTGCGTGCACCATGCATTTCCACTCACCATGCTCTCTTCTGGACCCAGTGAGGTCTGAAGCTATGTGTTGCTCAGTAGCACGGTTAAAATTTCAAATACATCCTGCCTTATTGGTCATCACAATGTGTGTCCACAAGCACAAACACCTGAAGAATGTATGATGTATGAGTGTTTGCTCAACCGTTTATATTAATTATGAGAAGTGATTTACCACTGTATATTAATACATAATGGCTATTAGAAGAGACCAAACCAGAATGGAACCCCCTGGCAGAATACCTCCAGCTATGCTACTGCCTTACAGTGCACCAGTCCCCTGGTGGTGCTTTCCTGGATGCTGATAGAGAGCAAGGATAACACTTGTGCACAATTCTAACAGCTGTCTGTACTTGCAGTTGTGGTCCCTCATCACTTGCATGTTGCAGCTCAGACTTCTCTATGATCCTTCTTTCAGGCAGTCAAAATCTGATGTGTAGGCAATGTTGTACACATCTCAAAGGGAAGATAAGAAAGGGAAAATATTTTAAAGTCCGAAAGGGGTTGCAATGCATCAAAGGTAGAAACAAGTTATTTTTTTATGCAATAAGCTGTGCATTAAGCAGCACAGGCAAAGCTTTAATACTGTACTATATCTGTCAGCACACACTGGATTGGGGCATCTAATCAGCATGCTGCTCTTCTCAACTTGTATTCACATTTGATTGTGCATTTCTCTCTAATGCATGAAAAATAGTCTCAGGCATATTTTGATAGCAAACTGGTATAAACCTAGCACAGAGCAGAAGGATTGGATGAATAATCATACTGCTAATCCCACCTGCTGTCACATGAGAAATACATGTAAAGATATGTATAGATATACGAGTTAACCTTTGCATCTGCCATCAGAGCAAAATTGCAATTGCACTGGAAATGGCACGGCAGATGAATTTGCCTTACTGTCAGTACTATCCCATCAAATATCCTGGAGGTTCGGCTCTCCAGTGCTGACCCAACCTGCAGTCTGTGTTTACTTGTGACTTTCCAGGGACATTTCAGCCCTCGGGAATGCAGCACACTTCCCATGGTATATTCAGATGACTCTATAGGTCAGTGGCTGCATGATAACAGTTTAATTTCTTGCCCTTTTTTAGTATGTTCAGAGCCCCACAAGAATGATGTTGTGGGGTCAGCACTCATGCTGAGACAGCATCCTGCTGTTGTCATTAAGGGACCATTTCCTGGGATATTCTTTTCCATTGCAAATTTACAACATGCCTGAAAGGAAGTAAGTGTTTAGAGAAAATGTGATCTAGTCAGAATTGTATGGTCAGAGACAGGATTGTTGCAGGTAAGTCATCAAAAATGGCTTTTTCTTCACACGCTACTTTAGCTTCTACTTAACCTCGTGAGTCCAAGAATCCACGCGCTCTTTTGAGACCATAGCACCCTTGATGTTTTTATATCCCTCATGAGTTAGGCTTAGTACCTTCAGTTTCTATAATTTTCTTTAACAGTGGGGGAGGATGCAAGTCCTTTTGCATATTTCAGTGGTGAGAGCTAAACAAAGCATCATGTGAGTATTATGGTGTGTCCCAGTTATCTAAACCGAAGGTATGTCCACTGTGCCATCTCCCTTCTGAGCTTATCCCTGAGGAGGGCCTTCAGAGGAAGGCTGATGTGTGTCTGGGTTTCACCTTGGCAAGGAACCAGGACACGGTGGGCAATCATGCCTGGCCTCAAGAGCTCACATGTGCTCCTGGGACCTCCATTTTGGACTTAGCCTCTGAGCCTGATGTTTAGACATTTCCTAGATAAGCAGTGCAAACACAAATACAGTCATGGCTGTTTGAAGTTCACAGCTTCTTTCTTACACTATATATATATACCATAAAGAACAAAAGACAATATCAAGACTGAAAAATTCTTACCATCTAGGTGCATGAAAAATAGTACTTCCTCTTGGGCACTTTGCAGCCTTTGTCCCTGACTTACCATGGGTGTACAAAAATTAGAATAATAATCAGGCCTATTTAATGCTAATTTACTTTATACCATCAAACAGAACTGATGGTATTCCAGTATTTTGAGCTCTCTTGCAGAATATCCCTCAGAACTTGTAATAGGAATCTTAGACCTTCCTTAATCTTTACAAGTGTGAATTGATAATAGATAGTCCTGAAATAAGATGTTCGTATATTTGCTATTCTACACAACTATTTTTTAATATCACAAATTTAGGTTTTTTTTCAATACTTGCAACTCAGTTTTTCATACTTCTCCTATGCTTCTGCTTGAAAATAGAGAGGGGAAAGTCACAGAATGTCAGAAAGCCTTTAAGTCTGGGAGTTAATTTGCCTTTATGTCTGGGAGACTGCAGGAGGAAGAAATAAAGAAGTTGTCACACCCGTATGAGAACAAAGCCAAGTGATAGTTGCACTGTAAAACATTAAGGAAACTCCCTGCTTATTACAGTCACTTCCAGTCCTTTAAAATGACAAACCAGTTAAAGAATTTCTAGATAGGCTAACTACTCTCTCTGGTATTTTAGAAAATGGAAGAAAACAGAAGGTAAAGCATATGTTGTGTTAAGAGGAATTTCAAGATTGAAAGTGTGATGCCACTTAGACACTGACAGCTGCAGTGGTCATAACTTAAAATGTCTTCAAAAATACTAAAATCATAGAATCAAAATTCTGCTGTGGTATGGAACAGCACTGTTCAAAAAGCATACAGTGTTTTGAAAGATCTCTTGGCTGTTTTACAAATTATTTTTCTCATCTGTAACTGCTGCAATTTATAAAGCTATGTCTCCACTTTCTATGTCTAGTTCATATATTTATCATACAAAAAATTTTTAACTCTCCACAGTGTTGTCCTGATATTACCAGGAACAAAGAATGTAAAAGATTTAAAACACAAAGGAGCCTACTTAATCTAATGGGTTTGACCATTTACCTTCAACTCAGTCTTGATTTTTTTTTTACTTACTACAGTCCACTATCAATTTCATCTCTGGAAACAGACCAACTCATGTTCTGAATTCATTGCTTTGGTAGCCCTTAGAATTTATCCATGTTTAATCCTTCCATTAAATAGTGCTGCCTACGTTCCTTTTTCCTTTTCGCATTGATAGAATAACTGTGTTCTGCTCTATTTCCTAATGAAACTAAATCCTCTGTTTAGCCTTTGCAGTTTTTCGTTGGACACCAGGCTGATGAGTTTACTGGGGTATGTTTTGAGTCTCACTACATTCATAAAAATCTTCCTCAATTTGCTGGCTACTGCATGCATCTGCTCCATTGATATTTCTATCCCGATTCTCCATACTGTTCTTCAACAGCTTTCTGGATGATCTTTTCAGTTAGAGCACAGTCTTGAGATTTTGTTTTCCCCAAGAAGAATTATGTAACGTTTATACTGAGTCATATTTGCCATCTGCTGATCCAACCACATAAACAATACAAATTCCTAAAGACCCGAGTCTTTCCTTAGTATCTGCTTCTAAGCTAATTTTTATAAATGTGCAGGTTTATGCACATTCTCCTGCCTTATGATTAGCTCTTCATGGAATACTGGCACCTCTTCAGAGGCTCTCAGCAAACTTGAAGAAATCAGTTCATGCAGAGCACGCATGTCAGAAGGTATTTATCAAGCAGTGCATGTGATTGCACACAAAATCAAAAGCAAGTGAGAAATACAGGAAAATTATGGCTACCTTAACAGAGGACATCAAAATGCTTCAGAATGCAGGGGGTTTCTTAGTTTAAGGCTAACTTTTTTAGAACTAGTTAAAGCTCAAGTGGCTGGTAACAAGATACAACCTTTTAGTCAAGTTTTAAATTACTGTTTTCCACTGTGACTCTGCTGTGACAAAGGACTTAAACTATAAATCCTAACTCCTGTGATTATATGTTTGTTTATTTAAACCATAATAAAACATTTGTGATCACAGAATCAGGCCTTAAAATTACTATTTATATCAAACTCTTTCAATCAGAAAGACGTAGTTATAGAATCTCTCCACCTAATAACTTTATGCATATGCTCAGTTCTGTGTCCTGCTGACAATATTGGAGAAGACATAATTTCATGTCCTGAAAATTCCAAACTATGTAAATTACATTTTGTAGCTAAAATATACTTCGCTGTGGACAACTGTATTGGAATGATAGGTCTCCGTAAGGATTATTTTTTTATCCTTCGCAAAAGAAAATCAGATTCCAGAAAGAAATTTCTACTTATAAGATACTAAAAATTTTTAATTAGCTAATAAAAACACAAAACATCTGTAGAAGTGTTACTGATAGGGATTAAAACAAATAATTTGTGAAATCAACAAGAATCTTTCCACTGCCTTAAATGAACTGTAGGTCTGGAGTAATAAACACTCTCTAAAAACATAACATTAAAATCCTTGTTATTTTGGCATTGCCAGACTTTACCTCTTGTGAGCACAGTTCATGGGAGAATGCCACTGATGCCAGTAGGGGAATAGTAAGGGATGATAATTTATTTGCCTGTTGTACCTATGGTCCTACCTACTCAAATTACTAAACTGAAACAGGAACCCGGGGCTGTAATTTGGGTTTCACATATGCACAGTGTCAAACGATGCATTTATCAAGGATGTGCCTATGGCTTGGCCAGCACCGAGTATTTTCGGCATATCTTGAAAAATCCCAGTATCCACAAGGAATGATTAATTTTGGTGCCTGGAAAAGTCATACAATTTAAAAGGTCTCTGTAACGGAACCAGAAACTCCAGAAGGGATGACTGGATCTGATACCAAACATATTCAGCTATACCTCCCGTCCGCGGAAATACTGAAAAGCCACGATCCTGGCTTGTGGCGGTGCCAGCAGTCCCGCCTGCCCGATTCGCTCCTGACCTCCGCGGGGCCCGGGTTTTCCTTTTTGCCTACATCGTTTCTGTCAAGGAAGCCGGCCGGTGTGTCCGTGCGGAGCGTCCTGCCGCGTCCCCGGATGGGGAGGAATCCTTGCTCGAGCCACCTCCTCGCCCACACACACACACACACACGGGCACAGTCCGTGACCCCACCAACCCCGCCCGCACCTGCCGCCAATTCGGCCCGGGGCGGGTGTCCCTCAGCGCCCGCCCTCCGCCCCCCATTCTCGCTCTCAGCCATCCTCGGCCCGGCACCGGGTGCCTCCCGTCACCTTCCGCAGCGCGGGGAGGCGCCACCTCCGCGGCGCTGCCCCGCCGCCGCCGAGCGCTCGCTGCCGCCGCGGGGGGCGCGGCCGATGCACCTGGCGGGGCGGGCGGCGCTCCCGGCTCCGCAGTGGGGCGCGGGCCGGGCGGGGCCAGCAGGGCGGAGGAGCGGGGCCCGCGGAGCGCCGGGGCCGCTGGAGCGGGCGGAGGGTGCGCCGCGCCCGGGCATCCACTGGGAGCGCGCCAGGCGCGTCTCCCCAGCAACGGGCCTGGCAAGGCAGGGCTGCGCCTCCTCCCTCCCTCCCTCCCTCCGGCCGCCCCTCTCCGCTTCCGTGCGCCCGGCTGCTCGCCCGTCCGGGAGGGTCGTTATCCTCGGCAGCCCGACACGGCACGGCGGCTGACACTGCCCGCTTCCCCCGCCCCATCCTCCGGGCCGGGGCTGTGTGTGCATGGCAGTGTGGGGGAGGTTCTTTATTGGCCTCGTCCTCCTTCCCTCCCTCCCGCCGCCCCCCTTCACCTTCCACACTCCACCCAGAAATGATCCAGTGAAACCAGGAGGAGGTGATTCTCCTCCTCCCTCCTGCTGCTGCTCCTGCTGGTCTGGAAGGGACTGCAGGAATCTCTGCCGTGCTCTGCTCTGAGGCAGGGTCTGGGGAGGGGAGGTCGTTCTGTGGAGGGAGGGGGCCGCTGTGGCCCGGGGTACAGCTCTCTCGCGGGGGGCTGCTTGGTTTCCGACCATGGGGAAGGATCAGGAACTGCTGGAAGCTGCTCGCACTGGGAATGTGGCTCTGGTGGAGAAACTCCTCTCTGGGAGGAAAGGAGGGATCCTTGGCAGTGGATCTGGAGCTATCCCCTTATCCAGCTTACTGAGGTAGGGACATCGTTCCCCATCAGATGCTGGGGATATTAACCTCTTCTTCTGTATCATCATCATCGTTGCCCCTCTCATCTTCATTTCCATTCCCGCATCTTTCATAGTAACAATAAATCGTTCACTTTCTCGCCAAGTACAAGCGTGCCAGTGTTTAAAGTCACAGGCAGTCATTTTCTTAATATAGTGGTACTGAATTTCCTGCCTTCAATGCGTCTGTAAGGTCCATGTGTTCATTCTGTTACTAGCTGTGGTGCAGAACTTATATTTTGACTGCTGTGCTAATATGTACAATGTATTGATTACCTTTCGTTTGATATTTCCATCTTCAAATTGCTCCTTGTAATCACAGATGAAAATGTTTATCACAGACAAGGCATTGCATTGTGGAAGTCTGTGTAAAAAGACGTAGCTTCACCCCATACCCTCACCCATAGTTGCAGCCCTCACTTGCAGAAGAAATTAGGCATGCCATAGTAATGAGCCTACAAAACAAAGGGGATCTCTTTTTTGTGGGAGATAAATCATCGAGGCCGAGGAGATGTAAAACTTAACGGAGCAGGTTAGGTAAGAGCAGCATTACTTTCAAGGTACCTGGGTTTAGTGGAGTGAAACTGGGTTACTGGCCATGTTGGGTGAAAGGGCTTAACTTTAGTCATTATTAGTCATATCTCAGGCAATCTACAGCATAGCTTTGATGTTAGGTTTCATCATACTCTTAAGTCAGAGCATTGTCACAATCATTTATGACATTTGACTGTATTCAAGCCAGAGAAGGTCTGCAGGACCCAGTCCAGTGCTAGTGTTCAACACTACATTAGGCATAGCAAAAGAAGACAAAATGAACCAAAACACTGTTGACCTAGAACTTGAATAAATTGGAGGTTTGGTTTTGTTGTTTATTTGGTAAAGAAAGAAAGGCCTAGTGCAATGGAAATGGATTTAAACAAAAATATATTTATGATTCTATTGTCAGTGCCTTCTTGTCAATGTTTTTATATTATTTCTGTGTCCCCTGTCAGGGAAAATTTAGTGTTAACTGTCCAAAGTATACCTGTTTAAACTCTATTATAAAGTCTTGCTATTTTAAAGCTGGCTTTAGTGCTGTAAACAACAACAGTTCAGATATTCAGAGTTTACCAAAGTTCTGTAGTGTCCCAGTTCAATTAGGTATTGCACCATTGTTGAATTACTAACCCATTGACCAAAATCAAAACACACCATGTGATTGCTTTTTGTACTGTACTCAAATAGGCTGCTTAGCAAGGAGTATGCCAGATAGTTGGCTGAATTTAAAATATGAGTCTTCTTAAAATGTGATACCCATTTTTCTAAGTACAGAAGTAAGTTCACTTCAGTACAATGACTAGCCATTTATAATCTAGTTCTACTGCATGATTTGTGTAGTGACTCTCTTCAGGGCTGGTGCTTGTGCTGTGTTCTTGCGCTGTTACTTTCATGTTGTGTATCGTAAGTTCTGTATATCCAGAGGGAGCGTATTTGCTTGTGCTTTCCTTTCTTTATTAAACAGCAGTGGTTTACATTGTGTATATGGAACACATGAGCCATGTGTTTTGTTTATACAGATGGGTCACCACAGTCATTGTTTGTTACTCAGAATTTAAGTATTTTAGGTTGTAAAGTCAACTGGCTTTCCCCTCCACCCCAAAGTGCACTTGGCTTAAAGAGAAGTAAAGTACAATAAAACGTGTTCTGTTACATTTATGATATTTCTTACAAATGTTGTAAAGAATGTCTATGGCTTCTGTTAATGTAACTTCAAAAATTAAAAGTGAACTTTTAGCTGTGCTGCATACAGCTGTATGCTAAAGTATTTCAAATTTAGAAAGAATTCAGAATTCAGTAATGGATTGATGCATAACACACCATTCAACATAATGCCTTTGAGAGGGTTCACCAGGAGTGCTCAAAGTAAAAACTACTATGCATTATAGTGTTTTCAAGAAAGAATTATATGTCCCAGATATTTTAACATACCTTTTTATTTTGGAGATGTTCCCTGATCTAACTAATGCCATTAATGATGAATTAAGTCCAGAATGACATGCAAGATAAGGGTTGGGTCTGTCTTGGTACAGGACACATGGAAACAAAATGAGGTACTGAAAGAGAGTTATACAAACATCTTGATCTTTTTTAGGAAATCAACACTTGCTGAAAATAGTAAAGTTGTAGAAGAACCATAAATGTAGAGTATAAAAGTTTGCATTTGAGGTTGGAGGGGATCTGAAGAAGAAGATTCTTCAATCTTCTACTGAAGAAGCTTACTAGGAGAGCTAACTGGTATTTTTGCATGCAGTTTATTAGAATAAAAACTGATTTTGAAAGTTATAATGAGAAGAAAGCAATAGAAAAAATATAGGAACATTTTTCTTCATTTAGTGTAATTTTTAGGAGTCATCGTGTTTGATAATATCTCTTTCTCTTTCAGTGGTTGTAATTAATACTCAGTTTCTAAAATGGTTCCCCAGAACTTTATGTATCCCGTCATGGTGAGAAAGGTCCATGTTGCTTTTTCTTTCTCCTTTTAGCAATGCTGTTTCTAGCATTAGGTTGGAAAAGTCCAACTTTTTCAGCATAGAAATGGACTTTTACTGTGCCTTATACGTTGGTCTACATAGTAGTAGTACATTTTCCCTTGGATTTCTTCAAAGTCCTAGAGACAACTCAGTGTGTGTGGCTGAACTCTCCATGGCAAGATGCCTTTTTTGGTGGAAATTGGCTTTGCAGTAATGATGTGCCTTGTGAATGAAATTTAATATTCATGAATTTGCAAATATACGTTGATTGTTATCTGAACCAAGGAACAAACTACCTGAGCTCTGGTGACCTATTTACAATTTTACAACTTTTTTTTTTGACTTAATGTATTTTATGGTCCTTGAGGGGAAAATAGGGCAAACCTTTGTATGGTTCTATAGTTGGACCTATTAATTGATGATAATTGCAGGCTAAATTATCTAATTTTTAAAGGGCTGGTTTCTAATTCCTAAGTCATTATATTAAATTATTACAACAGTTCAGGAAAACAGCTTTGTTCCAGAAGGCTATTTAAGCACATGTATAAACATATGAATGAATTCCTGTGAGGATTTAAACACATGCTTAGGGTATGTGCTAAGAGCATAAAAATGATATATGCTTAATTAAGACATCATATGCACACAGATATCTGTAATAGTCACTGTATAATACCTCATGCCCAAATTGATTTATCTAAAACAATGACAACAAATCAATGATGTTTGACTGTGTGGACTCTATAACTTGTTTCAGTTCAGGAGAAGCACTGAAAGGCTCTGGGTCAGTTTGTGCTCCCCTACCTCCATACTTTGTTTTGTAGTATAAAGATTGTGGGTGAATATACTGAAGGTGAATTCCTCAGGTGCAAAAGTCAGCATAAGGCATTGCAAGCTCTTAGAGCAAGAAACCTAAGTAAACACTTGGCATAGAGTAATTTAGTTGCTTAAACCTGGGTACTTATTGGTATTTTAGATTCCCATGAGTTTCTGAGGCATCTGATTGGACTGATGGAATTAAACAAAGAGCCATGAACTGTGGAGTTTCATCTAAGTTTCAGGTGTGAAACACTAGGACGTCTAAAGCTCTGTTATGTCTGTGTTGCCTACAGTCCCCAACCCCAAACATTAGTGCAGGGCTGGGATCTTTTGCTATGAAACAAGAATATTTTGAGATGTCTCATAAAACATTCAGAGTTTAGAAGACTGAAATATAAGTTTATTTTCTCTGTTTCTTCTGGATTCCACTGTCTGGAACTGTCATACATTGGTGTATTAACTATGCTTCATATTAAAAAAAAAAAGTTTTTTAAGTTTAGAATTAGGGGGTTTTTTTATATTGCAAAGAGAACTTTCACAGATTTTTACGCAGTTTCACTGGCTTTTATATTATTTCAGTGTAAACACAAAAACTTGACAGTAAAATCCCACAGTCCCTCTAAGAGAATGTATCATTCAATTCTTGTATCCCCAATTCTTAAATGCACATTAAACGATTTAACACATAAAAAGCATAAAATGTTTCTAACAAACCTGGTATTTTTGATTTACTTAATTTGATTACGTGTGTATACATAACATGTTTTTATTGACCAACTAGTTTTTCATTGTTGGATAGAGACAGGTTTCATTTCTTTCAGTGTTATTAGGAAAAATAACTTCGAAGGTTTTAATGTCTCTCAGAGACCTTATCTCATTTTGCCACATGCAGTCATGTACATACCTATTTGCCCTACTAGTATGTTACAAGCTAAAGAATGGATAGTTCTTGACTATATGCTAATTTTTAGTCTTTATAAACTGTACATGTTAAAAGAGCTTTGGATTTTTAACAGGACTGTGGGATTGAATATTAATTAATGTGCACTGGCACACATAGTAGGGGAGGTTGAATTGGCCCTTTTTTGCTCTTTGTTGGCTGCTGCCATTACACAGCATGGGAAGGCGGAGCAGCCGGCCTGGAGCTGGTTTTTTCCTTTTCTACATTTGGCAGACTGTGGCAGGGAATGGCTCCATTCTTTGCTTAGCCTTACTTAGTGCAGCTACACTATGTCTAGGCCTGGCCCAAGTTATTTCTCCTCAAAAGTATAAGAAACGCGGCAAGCAGATTGTCAGTCTGCGAGTTGCAATCTGTTTCCTCATCTGTTTCTCGGAGCAGTGTCTTGCTTGTAGCAAAGCCACAGTTTAGCCTGATGGCCTCAGTGCACTCTGAAAACCATACAGATCCTCTTCTGTCCTTGTGCAGAGCCCTCTGATTCATTCAGCTTTCTTTGTGAAAAGAGATCACTCTTGGATATGGCTTGTAGAGCAGAAAGTATTTAAAATGTTGGAATACTTTATGAAGCATTACTTAACAGTTTTAAAAAGTTTTTTTCGTGTTATAATTTAAATAGCAAATGTGTTACCTTATCAGCAAAATTAAGGCAACTAGTTCTGTTCTTCATTACAAATAGCATTGTT